CATTTTTCAGTACTTTGACTCGTTCTGGCATGGAATCGATGAGTTTTGTAATTTTATCCTGTAGGATATTGACCCAGGCTGCACGCAAAACATCAAGTAGCTCTTCACGGGACGCTGGTTTTCTGGAACTTCTTCTCACTGCTCGAGCGGGTATTGCCCAGACTTGCTCGATGGGGTCCATATTAGGTGACTGACTGACATGGCCATGGGAGCCGTTTGATGCCTTTCTTAATTAAATGACTATTGAATAAACATCATGGTGTTTGTTTACTTTTGAGATATCTCTGTATGTGTTAGTTAAAATGAAATTGTTTTAACACGACAGAGGACCTTTTTTTTCTTGAATGATTTGTTAAAAATCTCAAAACTTTCAAGTCTATCTTGGTAGGTGTTCAGGAAAGTTAGGTATAATATAGACTTTTATCTGAACGTGAAGCTTAGTTTGGTAAAACATATTTCACGTGTTTGTCCAGTTTCCGACTTGTTACAAACAACTTAATGTATCACCCGTCTTTAATAAACCAAAGTGTACCACAGGGCACTTGACATTGTCGTTAGTACCACAGAAAACTACATGTGAGGTACTGGCTCCTGTGTCAATCTGGTTAGCACCGGATGGTTTCCAGCACAAATACGGTTTACCCATTACACAGACAGAACTGATCGAAATTTTTTTTTCCACTAACCTCATTCCCAGGATTCCAATACCAGAACCAAGATTGTCTTCATCCTGTCGGTGACAGATGTAAATACCACGCAAACTGTCAAGTTCTCTTGATCCTTTAACATTTCTTGATGGACAGCTTCGTTCTCCACTGGGTCAAAATATCAGAGCAACTCATCACTGTTTCACAGTCACCAAGCTGCTCCTCAATTAAATGCTCAATTGAGTGTCTGGTGGACCATCTAAACTAGATATCAGACTTTATTCTGGCTGCCCTTGATTACAGCGATTCTAAGAACTTGTGCCCGGCATGGCCAGGTAGTTAAGGCGCTCGACTCGCAATCTGCGGGTCACGGGTTCGAATCCCTGTCACACCAAACATGCTCGCCCTTTCAGTCGTGGGGGCGTTATAATGTGACGGTTAATCCCACTATTCGTTGGTAAAAAGAGTAGCCCAAGAGTTGGCGGTGGGTGGTGATGACTAGCTGCCTCCCTCTAGTCTTACACTGCTAAATTAGGGACGGCTAGCGCAGATAGCCGTCATGTAGCTTTGCGCGAAATCCATAACAAACAAACAATCTAAGAACTTATCGACTTGAAATGCTATAAGCACTGAGATTGATCCTCGAGAAAAAAAACTCAATTGGCAACTTTAGATACACCATAAGAGTCTATGGAGGCAGGGTGAATCCAGTCATGAATTTTCTAAATATCGGCAAAAGTCCAAAACACAGGAGACGACTTCTCTGAGAACCAGCTACTTTCGTAACCATGTTATCCAACCATAATGATGAACACTAGTTTTCTTATAAGTCCTTTGACTCATGGAAAAATGACATTACCTCTCGTATGGAGGAATATAAAATTCCTCACTGGTAAAACAAACAGAACCAGAATTTCCAATTGTAAAATATGACTCTATTGTAGGATAGTCATTAAAGTAATATTATAAAGTTAACTAAAGGAAAGGTGTAATGATGAAAGCTGAGATTCTATTCAAACACCAAGTTTTCGATAGATAAAGTAGGGAAGCCAGTAATGTATGGATTATATTCTCCATGTAAAGTCGAGACGGCTTAGTCTGCTATGTGATCATTAGCAGGATCAAGTGATATGTCCACTTCCATCTCTATCTTGGTTGGTTCTTTTTCTGACGTTTTGTAGCCACGTTTTGTGAAAAACATTACTCACTACTTCCTGGTGGCTAAAATTGGGAGATCAATCCTTTGGTGCTCAGATTTGCCTTAGAAGACAAGCAAAAGCTTTAAATAAAAAAATCAAACACTAAAGAAGATTGTTTTAAAAAAGTTAGTTTCAATGTGTAATCACGTATACGTATTAATGCAGATTGTGTGTGAATTTTTGTGTCCGCGAATTCCTCCTACAGTTTTGGAGCTAACAGGATCAAAATTGGCAGGCGGATTCGAAGAGGCCTAGGGGGTGTCCTTATTTATATGGCGTGGCCCCACTACCAAGGAGAGCTAAAACGAGTCACTCAGGCATGATGAGGCGGGGTTTAGGGATAGGTTTACAGTGTCAATGAACCTGAAACTTGCCTCAACTTTTGTGTTCCTAGCCTCCTCTAGATTCTGGGGGTGCCATGTTTAAAACTGCGTTCTTACCCTCACTCACAATCTAGCTGGACCAAAAATGGCACACATACTTAGGTGCCACTTGTGGGTGTTTTAAGGGGGGATTGTTTTCGGATACAGGCCCCTCTTGGAATAGCTATAGAAGTAATCAGGGATGGTTGAGGCGCTTGATCGATACATTGGGGCATTTGCAAATTATGAAGGGTGGCCTTTGAACCTCGAAAACGAACGCGAATATTTTGTACTGGTGGTAGCTCAGCGGATATCTTAAGAGGTTATAACATTAAAATCAGAGTTCCGTCCCTATGGTTGACACAGGGTAGTTTGTCTATGGTATAGTTTTGTGCTTAAACTTAAAAAAACCTACTGAGCCCATTTCACCGTGTCATGATGACAATCGTTGTTAGCCAAATCTAGTGGTCATTCTGACAGAGGGTCAAAGGAACAATTTCAGAACAGATTTTGCCTATAGAATAGAATAGAAGGTAATGGCTAGTTTAGTTGATTTAAAAATAGCTTACGAGCGTATTGTGTTTATAAACTTGTAAGCCTAATTCCAAGTTATACAATGGAACTCTTCATTTCAATTTACAAGAATTTACTAAGGTTTGGATTTAAGTAGATAACTTTCTCTGGCATCATTCAGTCTGGAGAACGACTCGTGACAGATTGAAGACGAACAGAGTTATATGTGTTTGGTTATTTATCCAATTATCCAGTTTGAACCGTGAATGTGTTTGTTATAATCACGATGTCGGCTATATGTAACTGTTGATAAAAAATAAATAATCGTACATGTATTTAAACATAAATTTATTACATAATATTATATTTATTTATTTCAATATCCGGGACTATTTGTGAATGTAAATTCTAATTATTTTTTGTTTCGCTTCACATTCCATGACGTAATATAGCGAAGTAGAGATGTCGCTCTTTCACGCTTGTCACCTATGATGTCAGATGACATTACAGATTGTGCCAGAAACCACCAATCACAGAGAAGAAAAGAATCGCTCCCGGTAAGTATGAGTGTAAAATAAAAATTTGTTTTTCAACTGTAGGAAGAGGTCAAATATACATGACCCTCCCAGGTTTATAAGACCCAAATACCGATAAAGAGAAGGCGGAACTTTCGCAACAATGAATGAATGAAAGGAAAATATGTTTATTTACACGAATATTACAGTAATTACCTACATGGACATTGCCCTGAAAGGGGTCAGAGCAAGTGCTGGATACTCTGACTCTCATGTTGTAATTAAGTTAATATTCTTCAGAAACCAGCTACCATCTACCAGGAGGGAGAAAGAGGTCAAATGTCCCGGGTCTTAAATGACCAAATTCGAATGCCGAGAGCACATTTCAACAGTAGGAGGAAGAGGTCAAATGTTCCTGACCCTCCCAGGTCTTAAATGACCAAATTCGAATGCCGAGAGCATATTTCAACTGGAGGAAGAAGAGGTCAAATGTTCCTGACCCTTCCGGGTCAACAAGACCTAAATAACGATAAAGAGGAGTGCAGTTTTAACTGTATTTGGTGGAAGAAGTCTGACCCTCCCAGGTCGCGCACAACGACCGAATATCTATCCAGACACAATAGCAGCAGCTTCAACTGTATTCGGACATTATAATAACTTTTTTTTAACTTAATTGTAAGATAAAAATGGGTAACAAGAACTTTATGCTAAAAGTCTACGTGAGATATTATAAGCATGAATAAAGATTTAAGCAAATAAATAAAAAGGAATACGCTGTTAAAGAAACAATAACGTGATCTTTATGTTTCAAATACAACAACCAGTCATCATCAAGATGATACACTGCTACGATATCCAGTGTTTTACCGTTATTTACAAAAGAAAAATATTAAAAAAGGAAGCAGAAAACGTATT